CCATTATACTCTCTGAATAAAGGCTGAAAGTTTCTGAAGAAACTGTGGTGCTGCGTCGGTGGGGGTAACAAGGTAATTTGGTTATATCAACTAAGTTGAAATTGTAAATTGGCCACCGTAACGAATAAAAAAGCTGACGTTTCGAGCGTTAGCCCTTCGTCATTCGTTTGAGCCTGCGTACCGGCCCTTGAGGGAGGGGGAAGGGGGTGGAGAGCCGACCGGAGCGAGGCTTGGGGAAGGGATAGGAGGGCGAGCGGAGCGAGGCTTGGGGAGAGGATAGGAAGGAGGAGCCTGCAAGCGACCCCTTGGATTCTTCGAAATATCCGATCTCTCATGGACGAAGTATTCTCATTGGTCGAGATCAAATAACTGTCATTCAGCCGTGACAGTGATGAGTAACAGTCAAGTTGTGCTCGAGCAACTTTGATGAGAATACGTTGAAAAACATCCTAGAAAAACGCGGAATTAACCTGAAAAACAAACAGCGCCAAGCCTTGGAACAGCTCTAGGTCAAAAAGAAGGATCTTGTAGCTATTTTTCCGGCTGGGTTTGGAAAAATTTTAATTTTCCGAGCTCTAGTGTTGCTTGCACGCTTCGAGGCCAACGACGATAAACGGCCCGTTGTGTTGGTTATAACTCCACTTACAGGCATCGTACAGAATCAAATACTGGAGCTTAAATCTCTTGTTTTAACTGGTTGTAATGTAACCGAAGTTCTCGATAATTTGGATTCATTATCACAAGTTGATCTGGTATACGCTTCGGCCGAGAGTGCAATCGATGAACGTTTCACGAACTTCCTTAAAGAGAAAGATAAGGGTTTGTGTCAAGAACAGTTGCTCTGATAGTTGATGAATCACACACGATTCAAACTTGGACTGGCCTGGCCTGAGGTAAGGAAAAGTAAAATTCGAATACTTGATGTGCATGATATGATCAATGCGAGCGGAATTCCGAGCTGCTCGCGAAGCAACTTTTGTGTTCTGTTTACTAAATAACACGACTAATATATTGAAACCTACGTTTTCTTTCAAAATAAAAGCAAAGACACGAACAGTAAGAAAACCATTGCATTCCGTTCAGCATATGGCAAGCTGTCTTCTTTAAGATCTTTTTTTGGGAAAGGTAGGTTGTTTGTCTTATATTCAATATACAATTTACAGAATTTCACCATATTTTATATTATTTTCAGACATCCCTTTTGCAGCAATAACTGGAACGGCTGATGACGAGACTAGGGAGATTATTTCCTCACCCTTGTGTCTGCAAGAGAGAGATTTGGCTGTTTTGTGAAGTGAAATCCAAGATCTCGAAGGTGGTCCGCGATAACATATTGGAATTCTTCTCTCTGACTTGCTTTAATAATATCAATAAAGCTTTTGAACCCAGTTCCTAACTTGATTCTTAAGTTATCTGCACAAAAGCGGCAAATTGACGGATACATACATACATACATTGGTTACATACATTGGCTAATTGACCACTCCCCATAGGGGCTTTTCAGTGCCAACACCCACCCATTTCACCCAGGGGAGGACATCCACCACACAGTAATTTCTTACAGTTTATTCGTCTTTATCCAAAGACTAGAATATCTACACATTTCTTGATTATAGAAAGGTAGCAGGTTCTCCTCACTTATTTTAAGACCATGAGTATTGGTCCGACCGGGGCTCGAACCCTCGACCTCCCGCACAACACAATCCTGCGCTCTAACCAATTGAGCTAACCGGGAGGCGGTTAGCTCAATTGGAATATCTATATTAGGAATATCTATATTAGGCTTTCTACCCCTCATAGGTTTTTCTTTGAAATTTTCCTTGTTGTCTGACATTTTCATCCACGTGTAGCAAAGTTTTGACAGCTTGCATGAGTCAGTGCTCTGCTATTTTTAGTATTTTCCATGCTTCACTGGCGTACGTCTTAAAATGGCGCTTCGTGATTGGATAGTTTTGACAGTTATTGATTGATATTCGAAACACGATACGCATAGTTAATCGGTGGGAGTTTCGAAGAATCCACGGGGTGGCTGGCAGGGCCTTCCTTTCCTCTCCCCAACCCTCTCTCCGCTCTGCTCCCCACCCCCTTCCCCCCTCCCGCTAGGGCCACCACGCAGGCTACATTCGTTACGGTGGCCAATTTACAATTTCA